CACGGTGTCATTCTGCCCCATCTCTCTGGAACACAAATAAAACTGTGGAAACTCTGCTACTTCCGTTGGGTTCCTGAGGCCCAGATCAACCACGGGGGCTCCATCACCGCCTTCCACAGAGCTTCTCTGCTGGCAGACGAGGTGGACATGTTAAACCGCAGCCTGCGGCAGTGCAAGAGCAACTCCTCCTTGCAAGGCCGCTGCTCAGAACTGGATCAAAGCAGGATGTACTTCAGAGCAAATGGTTTAAATGACACCTCAGGTGCCCCAGACTTTCTCTCCTCCTCATTCCCATTTTCTCCTGTAGGGAACCTATGCAGACGGAGCATTTTGGGAACACCTTTAAGCAAATTTTTAAGTGGTGCCAAAATCTGGCTATCCACTGAGACGCTTGCAAATGAAGACTGAGGTGATGTGGAGGTTTAAAGGTTTGGAGAGGATGCAGCATATCATTTTGTCTTTTCTAACTTAACACTGCTAAATGCGGCATTGAAAGCTGTAATAATTTTTATATACAAACATTACGTAAGATTTGCACAAATATTTAAAAGCAAGGCAAGTCATGCTTCAAATCGCACAATTTTGTCTTCAGTAGTTCTCATCTGCTGGGACTTCTGCTCCCCAATTCCTCCTGTTCTTGGGGGTTTGGCTCATTCAAGTGATAGAGCATTTCATTAGCTAATTGAAAGGCTTGGTGTGGTCGTTAGTGAGGGTTCTGCTTGAAATACCTTTGTTTTCCCAGGTAGTGACTGAAGTGACCCTTTGCTAAAACAGCTTGGAAAGCCAAAGTAGTGCAGTGGAGATGAACTGACAGCTGAAATTTGGGAATGTACTATTTTATCAGACTGCCTCTTCAGGAGTAATACTCACATAGATACAAACATACTAATGTTCCATGACTGATCACCCTACATTGTGCTAATGCAGTGTATCCATGGAATGAGTTGTTCCCTTTTCTTTCTCTCCCCAAAATGTGTTCATTAACAATTAGTCAGATTTGTGCTCTTTGTTATGATCTTGACTTTAGACTATAGAAATCCGCATCAGGACAATGCACTGTTAATCTTAAAAAATTTACTGTAGATATGGTATTGTAGTAGCTTTAGAAGTGCCTTTAATTGGGAGGAAGCAGTAGCAGGATTACTCTAATGCAGCTGACACCTCTCCAGTTTTTTAAAGCAGATTGCTGTGGCAATTTCTTGTTCCATCCCCCACTTCCCCCTCTCCATTTCTGGAAACAACAGGCATCCAGAAGAAACAACACGTGTTCCCTCTTTAAGGTTAAGCTTGTTTCTAAGTCCCACAAGATCCTCACCTTTTTATAAGAGCACCTCATCTACTCAGCATAATATCCTTGCACAGATCCCGATCCCTGCCATCCCTCCCCTCATTTTTTTGTAGGATGACGTAGCTTTCAGCAGAACTTGTACCTGAGCCCTGCTGGGTTCCAGAAAGGAGCACTTGTTCCTCATTGCAACTTCTACACAGGCTGCAGGTGCTGCAGTTACTGGTAGGCAGGTGCTGCAAGAAGAGCAGTAAGTTGTGCCTTCTTTTTGCAGACTGCATATCCATAGGGAGAGTGCAACGAACAAGCACTGCCTGAGGGAATTCTGTCCAACAGCCTCCTTGTTGTTCTGAAACCTTTTAAATGCTGCATCTCCCTGGATGCTTTGCCACAAAAGGACTCACAGGGAGAAAGGCAGGAGTGTGAAGAATTCCAGAAGGTTGGAGAAATAGTGATGTGTCATTTTCATAGCTTAAGGCTCCTGTCAGCTGCCTTGTCTGAACAGTGAGGCTGTATTTTGTATTAAATTATTTCTGTATAAACACCAATGCTGTAGAACTGACACTGAACCTCTATCCAGGTATTGCCTCAGCAGTTTAAGGCACCAAAGGCCTTATACAATGGACTCAGAGCTGTTCTCAAGTTTTCTTAGTGGGGAAAAAAGCAAGCTGCAGGATGGGAATATACAGTGTATTTGAGTTTTAAAAAAGGGGAGGGGATAGGATTTGGAGATCTTTTTTTGTAAACTCAAACTGATCTTCAGCACAGCCTAAATCACAAAGTGGGGTTTGGCTCCCAGGCTGTTGTCTGACCTCCAAGGGTGTGCTGTGGTTGCACTGCTGGGGTTGGAGAGGGAAGCAAAGCAAGGCCAATGCAGAGGTGAACAACGTCAGGGGAGGGGGCTTCCTTTTTTACCTTACAAACTTACAAACCCTGTTCCTATGCAAAGCAGCTGTTGTGTGTGCTGTGCACAACGTGGGCAGGCACAGGCTGTGACACGATGCCAGGCGCTTCTGGGCAACTGTTTGTGAGGAAAAAACATGTATTCACCTCAACTGCCTAATTATGCTGCAAGATGAGCTGAGCATGTTAAATGGTCCACAAACCAGTTGTGTTTATTTCCAAGCTTGCTGGAGTAGCCATCTCACTTGTTCATTACTCAAATGTTTGCTTTAGTTTGCTTTTGCTGTTCCTGTTTTCCCATTAGCTTACTGCTTTCCCTGGCCTGATACTTGACATGAAGACCTCAACCTGTGTGCTTAGTGTCTTTTGGTACCAATTTGTTTTTCTTTTAAAATGACAGTTAAAAATATAATGTCTTTTTTTTTTTCTTTCCTTAACATTATAATTTCTTTGGTTTAAAGGTACCAAAAATGTGTAAATAAATTACTCCACAAAAGCGGCTGGTGGAAATAAAAAGTGTTTAGGCTAGTACCCTTTGGGGGGAAAATGGGTACAATATTTAAACAGAATTGTCTTTTATAAGGAGATTTCAGACATTTTTACGTTTCAGTTCTAAGATGTGTACAGATGCTGCAGAGGGTCTTTGTATTTTATATATATAGCATGGGAGAGGGTTAAAAATAATATGCCTTTATAATAAACAAAACCTGTCAAAAAATCTATTTGCCAAACAGACTTAAAAAGAAATTTTATACCATTCCAAAAAGGGAGTAAGGTAAGCAGAGGCTGAGAGGGGGCACGTCCTGCAGGGAGGAAGGGAAGGGCTCCACCTTTCCCTAGACTTGAAGACAAGGTTCTGCTTCCCTGTGTGCAAGGCCTTGCTGAGGAGTCTGAGCAGCTGCTGTGCCTGTGGATGCTGCTGCTTCCCCTGAGTTAAACAGCTCCACAATTTCTGATTCACTTTTGAAAGACAGGTACCAAGTGTTGATTTTGAAATATTCTCCACTCTGCACAGTTGCCTTATCAAGTCAGTAGGGACTGTTCTGGATATCTTTAATAACTTTCAAAAGCAATTTTGGGGTGTGAGTATATGTGTTACTTCTGTGTACAGAATACTGACATGCAAATGTGTATATATATATGTCTGTGTATATATATGTACACATACTTTCAAATTTTCATTTCTGTTCACCATTTAGAGTGAGATACTGTTAAATGCCGTGTTTGTGTTGCAAGAGTAGAAATGCTACCGAGCAGCTCATCCTTTTGTGTTTGTAGAAAATGTGCATTACTGCAGCTGTTCCTGGCTGAGTCATGACTTTGTACCACACAGGGGGAGCTCTGCTGCTGCAGCAGCTGGGCTCAGTGCAGTGCTTTGGTGGCACCTCAGCCTCCAGGCACTGCCCTGTGCCTCCAGAAGTGCACTGAGAACTGTGTGTGTGTGTCTGCCCAGGCCTGCACGTGTGCTTCATGGGCACCTGCCTGCAATATCACTCTGATCAATTAACTGCCTTGTGTTCCAATGAAAATGTAGCAAGCTGGGCAAACCTTTTGGCTTATTCTCAGATGGAAAGATATTAAAACCAAAAAAATTCTAACATGTATTTAAGCAAAGGATGAAATCTTAAATTTGCCTCTAACCAAGAGACAGAAATCTGTACCTCAAATTGCTCTAGGCAGTAGATTTCTAATGCTGTTGCTGTGATGGTTTAGAATTCACCATTTCAACTGAAACTAAAACCTTTGTGCCTGATAATGATTTACTGAGTAAAGTAGCAGTGGCAGGAAGATGATAAAATCCCGATGCTGAGTTGTGAATGTGAAGTAAATTAGAGTCAATAAAAGTTTGTACCTTTCCACAGTGAACTGCAGGTGGTTTTCTTTCCCTTCCTCTAACAAAAAAAAAAAAAAATCGTGTGTGTGTGGTTTTTTTCCAAGAATAGCATGGACACAGTGCTATAGAAAGATGATTAATAAAAATGATGTGCAAGTTATCTTATTCCTTGTTATATTATGTTATAGTGTCTGCAGTTTGCATGGTAATCAGAATTTCTCATAGCAGGGAACTTACTCAGTGTGAGAATGAAGACTCCAGAGAAAAGATGTCGGCTGTGTGTTAAAATTAAGAGAAACCCATGGGATTTTGGTGTCTTAAAAGGGAATTAATCTTTAGTTCCCATTGGCTGACATACTTCTGAATGAACAAACAGATCAATTTATGTGGGGCAGAACTGACTACACTGAATGTGGTCATCTTGGCACTGACCAACTACTGTCTACTAGCAGAAGCATTTCCCTTTTTGCAGGAAATACAGATCCAACAGAAGACGCTGTTAAATAAATTATCCTTTCATACACATTAGAACAGTATTCATGCTTTATGCCCTACTCTCTGCCACGTGTATCTGTTTATATACAAATGCAACATTCAAACACCTAATGGTAAGTGGAGACAGGCAGAGAACCACACTGGACCCGACAAGCCTGGCAAGGGGCTGAACTCACACCTTGCAAGGAGACTTGCCCAACATAATTCAGGCCACAAGGGCACCCCACAAATGAGCAGGACCTGATGGCCCAGTTTCTGTATTTAGAGATGTTCTCAGGGTGTACCAGTCTGAAGGCAGCTCTTCCTCCTCGCTGGGCAAGCCCCAGATTACCTCAGAGAATAAGTCGGGAATTGTGGAGAGTAGGGACGGGCTCTCCCCTTCTGAACATGAAGTGACATGCAGTAAATCATACTGACAGTTTTCTCAAATTTTAGAACTTTTTGTGTTAAAAAGGACTACAGTAATGTTCCAAGAAACCAGAATTTTAGAAGAAACTATTTTTAATAAGCAGCAGCAGCCATTGGTGTGTGCTACCCATTCCTTTACGAACACCTGAGTTCCCCACATGATCCAACCTGTGTCAGCTGAGGCGTTTGCTCTTGCCTCCAACGTCCTGTACATGACAAACCTCCACGGCAGCCCCCAGCTGGTGCAGCTCGCTCAGCCACAGCATCTGCTTGGGAGACAGGCGGTCGTTGGGGCCCTTCACCTCCACCAGCTGCAAGGAAAGGGGGATGGTTAGAAGTGTGTCCCTGGGGGAACTGAAGGATCATTAGCTCCCACACAAGAAGTATTTTTTATAGCTGTTATTTGCAACAAAAATAATAGAGATTTTAGCACCATGGAAGGTCCAGTGGGTGCTGAATTATTACCTGGTATTTCAAAATTTAACTGTAAGAGAACAAAATTTTATATAGTAAATATCCACCAAAACACAGACCAAAGCCCTGGTGAATGAAGGTTTCTCATACTGCAAAATTGATTGTCTGCACCCTCACCTGTTCCAGCTGATACTGACAGCAGCTTATTAAGGTGTTCTAGAGAAACTAATTTCTGCTATTCAGCTCTGTATCATAAACACATAACAAGTTGTTATGTCATCCAACAGATGAGATGTCTTCTAGTAGCTATTCCACTACTGTGCAAGGCACCATCCGTGACTGTTTACTCAACTTCTGTAGCAGACACAGACACAGTTGTTGTAGACTCAAATAGTCCAGATTTTGTCAAAGTGGTGCTAGAAGAACTCCTTGCTAACAACAATGAATGTGTGGCTGATTGTAACAGGTGCTTTAGATTAGGCTGAATCAAGACCTTTTCTACACCGACCTTAGCCAGCTCTGATCTTGCTGCTCCTCACGCCCACTAAAGCTCCAGCACAGCTGCTGGAGGCGCAGATAATCACCCTGTGCTCCGGGGGCAGGGCAGCCGAGCTGCGGCTCTGACTCCCCCGCCACAGGAAATGACAATTGTGTGGGCTGACAAGTGCAAGGTTTTACAGGAGGGAAGGCAGCTGAGCACTGGGAATTGCCGGGCTCCCACACACCTTGAAGTGCCGGCTGTGGGAGCGCCACACGAGCAGGTCGGGCAGGCCCCCCCGGCAGTGCCGCAGGTCCCTGGAAAGCCGCCGGAAAACACCGCTCAGGAACCTTCCTCCAAGGCAAGAGACCAGGCTCTGCAAGAGAAGGTTTGCGGTGGTTTTAATTTCCTGCAGAACCCTTTCCCAACCCTCACAAGAATACTGTTCCAAGAATACTGCACGGCCCACCTCAGCTCTTTGTTTAGTCTTAAGAAACATAAATAGCTGTTTTTCACATCAATTTTTCTGCTGTGTTCTCAGCTACTGTTACAAGAAAAGTGACCATATGAGAAAATTGTCACACCTGTGCAGGGACTTCAGCACAACAATCTCTAACTCCAATTGCTCCCTCCCACCACTCTCCATCTGCCATGGCTCAGTATAACCTGTGAGCACACGAGGGCCATGTGTAATTGAACGTCAAGCCTAACTGGAGTGCCCATGCTGGGCAACAGTCACTTACCTGGACTTGCTGGAGGGAAATAAAACGTCCCCAGTTAACCAGGGCTGCTGCTTTTCCCTCCTGAGTTGTCCAGACGTCAGCAACCAACTCTGCCAGTGTCTCTGAGGAAGCTGTGTGAAGCTGCTGGAGTCTGGCCTCAATGACAGCCCTCCTGTTCTCATAGAAGCTGTCAGTGTATAAATCCAGGGGGGATGTCTGGATGAAAAGGTAAATACAGCTCTCAGGAACTGCCACCACAGCAGCTGTTCCCCAAATGACAAAGTCCTACTTCATATTTTTCTTAACAACAAAGTCAATCAAACATTGAGCTGATTTATCTTGAACATGACCACCATATAAATATTTATTAAATGGGGAAAAAATTGCCTATGTTTTAATACCCAGTGACAGTGCAACAAACACTGGCCGCATTCTGGCAACAGAATTATTTCTTTTCTTTTGTTGCTTTTTCTTTTCTCTAATGGAATGTGTCATCTTCCAACAAGAGGAACTAGGCTGGGACACAGCAGTTTCTCCACTGGCTATCAAGGACACCTTGCCCAGCGAGCTCAGCTACAGGACACAAGCATTTAACCACACCCATCCCACCCTCTGTGAATCCAGCCTGACACAGCAATTGGTTACTGAGGAGGCCCTTGGCAATAAACCAAATATAAAAAATAATAAAATGAAGGAAACACCAAGATCTGCCTGGAAAGTCCCTCAGAATAAAATGTTAATTTAATCCCAAATAAGATTTTAACATGGTTACTGAGTCTACAGCAAAGGGAAAATAACTAAAGAAAGCCTTTCAAAGTTACCTGATAGGAATTTCTGAACACATCAGGTATGTCATCCATGAAAATGATATCCCACATTAGAATCCCATACAGTGTAATAAACGTTGAGCCTTCCCCATGAATACCTAAAGGGCAGAGTTTAATAGAAATAGAAACATTAACTTCTACAGCAATGTCATATGAAGAGCTACTGAAGCATCAGGACCCAAAGCAGAAAGATGCCATGTTCAGGCTGATGGCCAGCTGGTGTCAGCACACCTTCCCACAAGTGCAGCTCATGCTGCCCCATTCCCCAAGCCTGCTGCCCCCAGGCCAGGGGCCTTCCCTGCAGCACAGTTTCCATCCCTGCTTTGTCCCCACAAAGCTTACTGGGCTAACTCTGACAATTTGTCAATACACAACTTTTTTAACATTAAAAAAGGATACTATATGGCTTATAGTAATAATAATATATAATATATTCAAAATGGTGAGGGGGTAGGAGTGAGGAACTGATTGGGGATTTCAGCACAATTCTCCAAAATTCTAAATATTATTCCCTTCCTATTTAACTTTTTCTGATATGACCACTTTTGCTGCAACAATATTATCAATAAAATAAAACTGTATTAATATTTATATTTTATAGAAAGATACAAATATTATCTTTAAAAACAACTTGCCTACCTTCTGTATTTTGCTTTTTTCCTGTAAAACAGACCTATATATTCTTACTAGCTGATGGCTTTTCATAGGTCCTACATTGTAAAAGTGCATTAAAAACGAATAGAGCCTTTTCAAAAATTCCTGCAGTGTTGTGCTACTGGTATATACTATTTTCATGGAAATCTAGTACCAAAAATCAGTGGAGGTTTGTATTTCCTTAGTGCCACTCCCTTAAATGATAATACTAGCACTTTAACCTAAATTGTTCTACCCTTAGCCGTTCAATTGAAAGGAAGGCAAAGTACGTGATTTTCTGTGTAAATGGAGAAAAAACACTGGGGTTTTTCCTAATACATTTCAAAACCACCTTTGGTAAATGAAGGCAGCAAATCATTAAAGCAGGTCAGGCTGAAAATATGTTAGAGCACTTTGGTAAGGAAGTGATGTGTTAGAGGTGTTTGGGAAGGAAACAGAATCAGCCTAAAATTTGGTGTAAGGAACTCAGCTAGAACTGGTCTATTAACTAAACTGATCAGTAAATAGTTTCTTTATTTACTCCCACAGTTATTTTACTGAAAAATATCCCTGAACCAACAGTACTGTTACCTTGATCGAAACCATTCTTCCTGTAATGAGTTAATGCCAGCTCCTCAACTGAGCACATGACTGTGGATACACTGCAGTCTTGGCCTCCTCCATCATCAATATCCTCCATGAGAAACACGGATTTTCCCATTCCTGTCTGAGGACACATCTTTCCACTGATTGTAACCTGAACATATTAAAACATTTGGTTACTTTCCAGCATCATGTTTAAAAAGCTTTAACCCAAAATCTCCTTTTCAGTTTTCTTAAAATCAGAGCTAGATCTGTTTCCAAAAATCAAATGAATAAAATTTAACCTGTCATTCCTGTGAAATCATCCTCTTTAGCTTTTATAAACTGGCACATTTTTAAGAAAACAAAAGTCTAGCAAAAATTCTGGCCAGATGGGAATGTAGCCTTTCTATAGGAGCAGAAACACAGAAAAGTGAGGAGACAGACTCTGGGCTGAGACAAAGAAGGGCTGCAGGGAGACATTTGGTGAGGAGGTTGAGAGAGGAAGTGAGGTTCTGCTTTGATTTTGCCCAGACAGAATTATCATTACACTGATAAGGAAAAGATAGACTTTTAAAAAATCTATTCTATTATGATGCAAGTGCCCAACACAGAATATTTGCATAACCCATATTTAGAGTGCATAACTTTGAAAGGTTCCGAAAAGAACAGTGGCATTTTTTTTAGCCATTAATCTAATGCTGACAACATGCTAAGGTTACTATTACTTTTTCTAGCACACACAATACTTGGCCTGCAGCCACCAGAGACAATGCACTGATCTGATCAGACTCTTCAGCCAGAAAGGCTCTGGCTTTACTGATAAATTAGTGGAGTTTATGGCTGATCACATCCATAAGAAATATAAAGCAATGCAAATTAGATCAGTGTACAGCTGACTACAGATAAGAAGCTGACCAATGTAGGAGTATTTGATTGCAAGAAACACGTTTGTACTCCTTTCCCCGCACCATGTCAGTCAGAGGCTGGTGCCCAGCATGTAACAAGTCTCCCAGGTTACTTTTCCTTGTCTGAAGTCAAAAGGTGCTGCTCCTTTGCTTACGTGAGGCACATCGTGCACGGTGAGGAGGGGCAGGTCCTGCAGCAGGCCCTGGAGGTGCTGGCAGCTGGGGGAGTCCCGGATGCGCAGGGCGCGCTGGCACAGGGACAGGCGGTGCCCGGTGCGCACGGCCGGGTCCGCCAGCCCCCGCCGGAGGCAGCCGATGGCCTGGCAAACAGCAAGGGAAAACTGGCTGAGACCTCTGCACACCCCCTGCTCCAGAGCCATCGATTCCAGCACAAACAGGACACGGCCACCTTGCTGAGTGTGAAGTTCTAACCAACGAGTAACATTTTGCACAAGGAGGCTTCAGGATTCAAATTTATACTTTTGTACAGTAAAAAAGTACAGTACAGTAAAAAAAATCCCTCCCAATTTCTACTGATCAATATAAGATTAAGGAAGTGGATTAATTTTCTTAGTTAAACTGGTTGTCTGACCTTAAGATTCCTAACAAAATCTGTATTTTTAGGAGACTCTACTCCACTTTCTTGCCATAAGAAATACTTTTTAAAAATGTTTTCAGACAATCCAGTGTTTCCAGCTTTCCAGCAGCAGTTTTGAAGATACCTTCTTAGTGTTTTTCAGGTGCTGATGTAAATTCAGAGCCAGTCGATCCCACCATCTCCCTCTGCTGTCAGCACAGTACACATCCTGGGCCAGGAGGCTCTGCAGCTGCTGCACTGCTTCCTGTAGCAATGGAATTATACCTTTATTAATTTGGTTATAAAACCAAGTTCAAGTTAGCCTGTCACTTTCCTTTCTAATTAATGAAAAGTACAGAAAATTTCTCTCTGGACAATCCAAACTTACTTTTTACTCCACTACCCAATATACCCATTTCAGATCTATATATGTATCTTATAAACTCTAGAATAGAGATATTTTTATGTAAATTTAAAGGTTAGCTGCCAAAAATACAGCATTTTTTCATTTCTGTATCCCTTATTGTATATTAAAAATATCTTAAGTATTACTTGTTGCTTTGTTGCAGAGGTGAAGTCTTTTTCAAAATAATCTGATTAACCTTAACATGTAAATCAGAGGCCTTTGGAGATGTTCATTCCCTAAGGAAGGGCCAGGGATTTGTGGAGGTCTTCTCTTTCAAGATTTTTCTTATTTAAAAGCAATAGCCAAATCTAGTGAAACAGAGGTATCTTTAAATAATGAAACACGCATATCTCAGCAATAGTTTTAGAGTGTATTACATAAGGTAAATCCTCAAAGCATAAGCAGAAATCAAACAATTTAAAACTTTCTAAAGCAGCAGAAATAAGGGCCACTTTTCCCTTAAAAGTAACTGTTACTAGAACTGTAGCAAGTCCTGGCAAACGTATTACCACCATTTTACAGCCACTTTAGAAATGTCAATTAATGTACAAAAATTAAGCATGTATTTCTATTCACCTCACCACTTTACCTTATACTTGTGAAGCCTCTGCAGAATTTCAACTCCTTGAGAAAGGATTCTTGTGTACACCCAGCCAACTGTGAAACGTCGCAGGTAATCAGGTAAAATTCTGTGATAGCTGAAAAATAAGAGCAGTTCAGATCAATTTAATGATGTCAGTTTTACTAAGAATACCTACACCCAAAGCATTTACCAGACTAAATGCCTTATATATCCAAATTGATCTGAAATTAGTATCCCAGCTGCAAAGTCAAGAACCCAAAGGTGAGGCAATAGTTTGGCTTAGGGAGCAGGTGCAAGCTGCACTTGCACAGCCTATTTTAGTTTCAACACCAGTAGAATTATCAGTTCATTTTAAAACAGATGCAAAACAGTAACTTACTACATCATATTTTGTTACCACTCATTCTCATAAGTCAGCAGTTCCACTTCAGAAACAAAGCTGAACAAAAGAAAAAGTCTCGAACAGGAATTTCCTGCCATAAAAGAAGACCAACATCTTTTCAGTAGGCACCTCTGTATTTCAGGACAAAGTCTTTTGAATTTCTTTTTTAAATCAAAATAGGTTTTTCCACTGTCTGCAGTGTAAAATGGAACAGACCTCCAAAAGACCCTCTATGAATATTATTTTAAATCAGTTGCCATGGAATTGAATTTAATGCCAAACATAAGGTTTAATTTGTGGTGTATCATTAAAAAAAACCCAAAATAATTAAAAGAAAATTGATGAAGAACATTTAAAACCCAATAAATGTTATTTCAGTTCTCAGATATTCAGTAACATTTCCTGAGCAACACCCACTTAGAAATCTAAAGACATTAAGAACCCAGCATGTTTTCCCATAACATTTGCAACATCTTTTGTTCACAGTCAATTTTAATTTCTGCTTATTGCCATTTGTTTGAAAGCCATTAAATTTAAAAAATATTACAAGGGAAAAATAAGGCTCCTGTTCTGTACTGGCACATAGAAGAGAACTGTTTTAGTGCTATATCCATGCCTACCAACTCTTTCCCAAGATTTTATAAAAAAGGTATTTTCATACTGTAACTTAAAAACTAAACAAGCAGGAAGTTCCAAGCTTTCGAGAGCATTAAAGTCTCTTGCTTTTTCAGGTTTAAATAACATCCCTAGTTGATAAGCCTCTCTCCAGAGGAAAACTAAGATAATACACTTAACAGTTTCCAGTTCAGTACCTCAAAGAGGGGTGATTCTTCAGTTCGCTCCAGGCTTCTTTAGCACACAAATAGAGATTATTAGCTTCTTCCCAGTTCCCATTTAGCATTGCAGTGGCTATATCATTTGACAGATGAACAGCAGTTGCATACCTGTGGTAAAAAACTACAACTTTACCACACTTGAAAAGCATCTACAGTTGATAGAAATAAATTCTTTCCCCTCCAGTCTCTAAAGACATTGAACCATGCAGCCATCTTTATTCTTAATCTTGTAGGATTAGCAGAGTTTAAACTAGCAGGGCACATAATGTTTAAATTTACTTAACAGTAGAGAATATAATTTTAATTTTGCTCAGAATCAGCACAGCAAATGAAAAAAACAGCTTTCATCACAGGATCATGAAGCAAATAGATAAGCTATTCTGTTTCAAAATGCAAGCCACTGTGAATTACAACTCCTACCTTGATAAAAAAATGTACTTAAAATAATTGCAAAATTAACACTTCTAAATATTTACATCTGTAGTACTACATCTGAATTCTTACTTGCCTGCACAAGTGCTGCAGTAAAGCTCTTTTAGCAATGAACAGATTTCCAAGCTGCCAAAGCTCTCCCTACCTGATGAGATCCTCTCTGTCCTGGAAGACCTGTGTTCTCCTGTTTACTGTGTAACTGGGGAATACCATGTGGCCCATGTTTGCCCTAAGGACTGTGGAGAGGAGGCCTTGGCCAGCACTGCCAGCTTCATCCTCCTCCAGCGACTCAGGCAGTGAAAACAGCAGCAGGATTCGGGAAAAGACAGCCCGAGCACCTCTACAGACCCTGACACATTTTCCAGCCAGGTTCTTCACCCTGGAAGGACAAATAAAAATTTTATAACATGGTTTTTATCATGAGTTGTAGAAACTAAAACTTACTGAATGAAGTATGAGAATAACTTTTTTCCAAGCCAATTAATGCATAAACTTGATTGTCCTTGAAAGAAGCAGATAGACTATGCAGTTTAGTATTTACCCTTCTTTGACTCACTGTGAATTGAAATGCAATGCCACCCTTTTTATTAATTAATTTACTAAATGCAGTCCTCTCTTGAAAAGGCATCTAGATTTCAGTCACTTGAAGCACAACTTCCATTCACCTGCAAAATTTAGCTGTAAACATGTACCTTTTTAAAATCACTGTCCCAATACCAGCCTGACTCCTGCTGAAGATTGAGCGCTGCTTTGACAACTTCAGAAGATCATCCACCAGTTGCTGTTTCTGACCATTTGGGTTTGGCAAGTGAAAGATTTTTGCCAGTGTTTTTAGCTCAGGGGCTGAAAGCAAATCCAACCCTTCACACAGGTCTTCCAATTCAGATTCTAAAAGTAAAATCATCCACATATATTCATTGTGTTATATTATTGTGTCAAGCAACAGGTCACAGTACATTCATACAACCTAGTACTAATCTAATGATTTAGGTTTGATGCCTGAAAGGTAGGCTGGAAATAAAACCCCACAGACTGGTGTCTATAGGGCAGGTATTTGTTTATTGCAGCACTTCAGGTGAGGGAGATTGCTCCACCTAACTCACCCACCTTTGCCAAGTGCTGTGGTATATTTATACAGCAAGTGTTGCTCAGTGTTACTCTGCCACTATAACGTCATCATACAGATGCCAGAACTAATTTACATGGCATGGTCTGAGTGTTGTTAGACAGTTCTTTTGCACTGTGCTTGCCTCTCCCTGATTCAGGGCTCATCAGGGGTCTTTGATGAAGGCTTCCAAAGTCTTCTTTGCATCTGAACTTTTCAACTTTGTTTCTGGAGCATACACAGTTACTGTGTTCCTTGGTCTGTCTGGTCCTAACCTGCCTAAAATCTTTATCTTGTGGCTAGTTTGCTTTACATTTACCAATTTCTCATTAAGTGTACTTACCTGTCTCTAAAGCTGTCAACCTGGTGAGGTTTTTTCTTCTTTTTTGTCTATTCAGCATTAAGCAACTAGTTAACCATACACCCCATTATATTGTATAGAAAGTTATTTATATCAGGTTATATAGGTATAAAAGTATTGATTCGGGTTATATAGGTATAAAAACCTGTGATTCAGGTTATATAGGTATGAAAGTTACAATTTGGGTTACAATGATATCAGGTTATATAGATACATAAAAAATCATGATTTAGGTTACACTGATATCAGTTTATATATATATATATATATATATATATATATATCAGGTTGTACTGTTATCTTATAACTTAAGCTATAAAAGCACCTTGTAACTTTGACCTAAGTTATATAGGTATCAGGCTCTTCAAAAATGTATTAACAATGCTATCTGGTTCACTCTGAAATTCTTCTGCACCTTCTTCTGGACCTTTTCACATGTCTACTTTGAAGGAAGGGAATAACCCCTTACAACTTCAAAACAACTGCAAAGATTAAAAAAATCTGTTGAGTTATAAAAAAATGCTGTTCAGAAAAGCTGGTGTTCTCTATTATCTAATCTGCACTATTTGAATTTTCACAAGACCACTCATCTACCTGAAGCTTTTATTCTGCTCCTCTGTTTTCTTCCCAAGGCACAGACAAGCATGTACTGCACTGACCTCTAACATGACACAACTTCAGATTTTATTTGTAGTATTTTAAAGGTTTATTAATGCTGGCCTTACCTGTTTGTAGGAATCTGGCTTCAGCCAGTTCTTCAATTATTGGTGACAAATCCACACTTATCTCCCCATACTCTATTTTGTTCACTTTTAACCAGTTCAGCTTGCGTTGAAAAAGTCTCACATACAATTTCTGCCCACCAGCTGCAAGTTTTATTTAAAGCAGGGAAAGACAAAAAGAAGAGTAAATTCTAAACACAGTACTAAGCACCACATCATCACATTAACCAGAAAAATTACTTTGATGCAGGTACTCTCTAAAACACATTTTAAATCTCCCCGTGTTCTACAAGCAGACTTGGTAAAATACCAGACTCAGACTTACCTTTCCAAGCAATTAATAAATTCATTAGAATCTTTAAGTTTTTGTAGGTGGAAAAGTATTACAACATGTTTTATAGGTAATGTACATTACTGAAATGCCTTTTGACATGCCTACCCTTCAAGAAATATTTAGTTTTATAGAAAAAGAGAATTTAATTTTCCAACCCTGCATTTTGTGTTGTTAAATAGGTCTTTTTGCTTTGTTAAACAGCTATTCAATGACCAAATATTTCATGCTAGAGAACAAAAGAAGCTGCAGTATGACAGAATAATTTAATAATTGTGAAATACCTCTCTGTGCAGCATTCTTCAGGTTCTTATTTTTCCAAAGATAAGCCAAATTATACTAATACATCTACTGAAAGAAAACAATGAGAAAAAAAACTCCTATTCATTGATTTTTATCAGGGAAGTATTCTTTTAAAATAGCTTTTAAAAAGACTTTTTAATACTAACAATGCCAAAATTCAACAAAATAGCTTATTAAATTTTAGCTAAAAATAGCCTAGCTATTATCACTATATTCAACAACCTTTTGAATACTTAATTCAAGCCCCATTTACTTCTATTTTTTTCCCCTGTCTGCTAGTACTTAACTGAAAATGATCATTAATAAAAAAAACACTGAAACACTACCAGATCTAGACATACTTAAGAAATGGCAGATAAACATTAAATATTTATTTAACAATTCTCCTGTCCTTATAAGACTTTTTCAGCCTTTTCTTTAAAAGAATCTTTCTAGGATCTGTTCACTAGGAGAACTACATTCAAACATATAAGCTTTTCATTTTCTCTGTGGGGACTCCTTTAAAGTCTGCCCCAAGTTTTTATCGTTCTGGAGAAAGGAAAAAGGCTAACACACAGGCATTCTTGCTCCAGGCCATGGAACTGACCAAACTAGGGCTGCAATAATACTTTCATAATGAGCTTCATAAACTTACACTGAGGCAGAGACAACTCACTGAGGAATGGTAAACATTTCAGCAGAAAATAATTAAATACTGGAAAGTATCTATATTCAAGCAACTTCATAGTACTAATCAGGTTTGTGGGCTTTTTAGTGTTATGAAAACTGAAAGATGATGCTAGGGTAGAAACTTCTCACGTGGGACACACAGCTCATCTACCTGAACTTTCAAAGTATCCTGCCTGGTATTTCTTGAAGGCAATGGCATCCATCTGTCAGTTGTCCAGGATTTGTTATCTACTGACTTAGTGTCATCCTCTCACTTCTCACAGCTCAACTGCTTCATCTTTCCTACCCTGCAGAGAGAGATTGTTTCATCCATGACCCTCACTTCCAGTGCAGGCAGACATGGATTTATCAGCACCACTTTGCAGTAATTCTTTCTGTACTCCAAACTCACACTACTGGAAGAGAAACAAAAACCTCTTTTATCTAACAGAAGCTCCTGTTACCCATCAGTGTTGTTCACGCCCAGGGAACAGAGTGTGGAAAAGGGGAAGGTGTATCCTGAACATCTCTTTTAGTGTTTGTCAAAGTAGCCAACACCAGCACACACTACTGGCCTGTGAGTTTATTCCTAGATCTTTGGGTGCAAATTATGTGCATCTACTGCTTGCCTCAGAGAGCCAGTAACAAGACTTCTGTTGCTTTCTTTCTTTATATATTCCCTTTTAACTACCTCAAGATAAACAAGGCATTACCAAGCTCCAAGATGTCCCTGCTGTAATATTCTTATGGGCTGGAGTGCGCCAATGGGCTCTGCCAAGCCCCCCAGGTTTGGCTGCTTGTGCCCATGGCCAGCTGAGATGCATGAGGATGCAAGACTGGCTGCTGGGTGGCCTGAGTGAGGCTGTGTCCTCCCATTCTCTCAGGAGCTGTACCTAACTATATTAGCAGAGTTTATTTTTAAAAAAACAAACTGAGAAGAAGGAGCTTCTTTCCTTAAAAAATACATCAAGTTACAAGGTCAATTGATATAGTACTTCTCACATAAAACTATGTAAGTAAAAATGTTCCACTACAAGAGGGAATGTGGAAATGTATTTAAAATAAAAAGATACCTGATAATTTGTAGAACTTGGTTATAATGGTCAAATCTTCTTCATTAAATAGTCTGACATCATCTTCATTCTGCAATACCGCTTGCAGGACTACTAAAAAATTCTGGAGGTAGTATGGGTGACCAGGAGAGGCAGGCACAGAAAGGACCTCACCTATTTTGTCTAGAATGTCCCCAGTTGAATCCTGAGATTCTGTCTTTTCCATGTCATTCTTGAAGTCTTCCAGAACTTCGACAGGAAGTACCTCTGCATCATCCCTGTTAAAGCAATTTTCTGTCCCATGGTTCACTTCTGTCTTTGAAGGAGGAACCTCAATGTGAGGCTGAGTCTCAGCTTCCAAATTACTGGTCAGCTCTGCTGAAGTATGGATGGCTAGAGATGTTTCAAATTTATCAGGACTAAGTATCCCACCTTCAGAGCTGCTTTCTGCTTTGGTGCTCCTTGTACCAGATGGGAACCTTTTGTCATTAATGTTATCAGCCAGTAACTGTACTTGAACCATATCCACAAGGTCTTCTCCATCATATTTGTTTATTTTGTTTTGAAATTCAGATTCCCTCTTTGAAAAATTTTGTTCCTGGTGCTCTCCCCGAGAAGGCTGATTTTCTTTCTGAGAACTCTGCCCAGCATCAATCTCATCACCATCATCAGGTGCTGCAGCACTTCCACAGGCACTGTGAACAGCTGGAGGTGAAGAGTTGATCTCTTCATACAAGACCTGTTTTCCTCCCTGCAGGCAGCGTCTTCTGGACAGCTTGGCAGACAAGCTTCCCAAGGAGACTCTTCTAACTTTTCGAGCCTGGGATTCACTGTTGACACTAAAGACTGAACCACTATTACTAAAATAAGGACTAGTCTGTTTTGCTGCACTCCCTCCTGCTTTCAATAAATTACTTTTAGAAGGACTTGTTTCTAGATTTAAGAGGTTTTTTGAAAAATACGAGCTGGAATTATTGCTCAGATTTTCAGCTGGGGGACTCTTATTCCTAAAAGGATTTAGTGTAGCATCAGTGGCACCAATCTCACCACGGTTTTTCTGACATATTTCATCCATGTGCTTATTTATTCCGTATCTTGGCACCAATTGCCCACATATGGGACAGCTAACTTTGGCAGGGGGAACATTGTTAAAAAAGGAAGTAATAGAGGATGATGCTGAAGGTGTAGATGGTGTTCCTGCAACATCCACTTTTTTTGTTGCTTCTTTTTTCCTCTTATTTTTACTGAGTGACAAACTTATCTGGGATCTTTTGATTCCTGAAGACCTAGATTCTGCCATTACAAAACTTCACAGCCATTACACAGCACAGACAACTCCATTCAGGCCATATTTCTTTATTCTGTAATACTTAAAAGACCTTCCTTGGCTTTTCCATCTGTAATCCTCTGACATGCCTTGAAAAAAAACAACACTGAATGAGAGGTCTTCTAAGGTACCAGATGCAACCAAGATGAACAGAAGAGAGACAGATAAGTCCGTAACTTAACAATGCTACTGTCCTTTAGCTTGCCTTACCAGGCAGGGAAGCACACCACAGGCAAGCTGAGCACTGCAGCTGCCTTTAATAATGGAAAAGGAATCTCAAGTTTGCATTTACATCAGCAAGTGAACCTGGAATTCAAACAGGCAAGTCCTCTAATTTTCACAGAATAGTCAGAGATGAAAGGCACCTCTGGAGATCAGTCCAACCCCCCTGCCCAGGCAGGGTCACCAGCACAGGAACACGTCCAGCTGGGTTTACAATGTCTCCGGAGAGGGAGACTCCATGACCACCCCACACAGCTCTCCCAGTCTCTGCCTCCCTCAGTGTGAAGTTCTTCCTCATGCTGAGGTGAAACTTGTGTTTTAATCTATGGCCGCTGCTCCTCATCCTGTTGCTGGAAACATTTTATCATTGTCTAGTTTGCTACTGGCGGACTATTTTCGGCGGCAGGCATCCCCGCCGGAGCGCCGTGCGGGCTGCCCTGCAGCCTCGCCCTCACGGCCGCCGTGCGTGCCCGAGCCCGCGGCGTGCTGGGGCCGAGCTCCGCCAGGGCCGGGGCTCGGCAGCGGCCCCACAGCGCCCAGGGAGCTGGGCGGCGGGGCCCAGCCTCCGCAGGGGTCTCGGGGCTGCCATCCCCACCTGCCCGCCCGCTGCCGCCACCGCCCCTCCCCGCGCCGGGACGCCCTCGGCCGCCGTGCCCCTCACGGCGGGCCCCAGCCGGAGCCTCCCGCACCCGCCCGGCCCAGCCCCCGGCCCTTGCCCACGCACCGGCCCCGCCGCCCGCCTCGCTCCGGGGCCAGCCGCGCCCCTGGGCCGGGCCGGGGCCGCCGCTCCGCCCGCCGCCAGCCCTGAGCAGCGCAGCGCCGATGGCGGCCCCGGCCCGCCCACACAGCGGCTCTGCCGCGAGCCCCGCCGCTCTTTGAAACTCCCTTTTACCACCAAAACAGCTGAGGTCCACAGGAGCAGCAACTAGAGGTTTGGTGGTGGTGAGTTTTTGGGTTTTATTTTTTTTGGTTTATGTTCGGCTAAGAGCAAAGAGTGAAATACTTTCACCCTCAGACTTATTGTTGGCATGGACTCTATGGGAGATCATTCCACTGAGTGTTAAAAATAAGCATGAAGAGAAGGGACCTCATCCCTGCCTGTCAGTGTGTGCAGGGAGCTGCAGAGGAGGGAGCAGGCTCTGCCATGGAACGAGGCAAGGGGCAGAAACTGAGACACGCAAGTTCCACCTGAGCGTCAGGAAAAACTTCACTGCAGGTAACTGAGCACTGGATCAGGCTGCCCAGAGACGCTGGAGTGCATGGAGCTCTCACTGGAGCTATTCCACAACAACCCTGTGCCATGTGCTCTGGGATGACCCTGCTTGAGCAGGAGATTGGACCAGATGACCCTACTGAGGTCCCTTCCAACCCAAACCATTCTTGGACACAGTCTAAGTTAAAAACTTCCTACCTCTGGGTTACCACAGGCTTTGTGTCCTCCCTCTTTGCCAATCACAAGTTCAGAGTATAATTTCTACAATTTAAATGCCAAGATACATCCTCAATTTGTCAATAAATGCAGTTCCTCCTGCTCTAGATCCAGAGCTATTGTAACAGCAGACAAAGCTCTGGGCTATAGATTAAAGGGACTGTATAGTTACAGCACATGTCGAGTATTTTACACTGATATGTATCTGCCCACACCAAGAATCTTTCTTTTTAGAATAACAGAGTTCTATGGTAGGAAATAAGAGTAAAATCTACAGAAAACTCTCTGAACATCACCTTAGAAGTTCACAAAATATTTTAAAAATCAGAGAATAAAACCTACTCAAATTCAGAAGAAAATTTTAATATATACAAGATGTATATATCTATGTACCTGTATAAAAAAGGTAAACTACAACTTCAGTTTATGAACAGAGATTGCTTTCTCCTTCTTCTGTTTCTTCTTTAATTTGCTGGCATCTTTGATTTGCATTCTCACTTGATCTTGTAGCTGAGAAAAGAAGGCCTGGGATGATTTCAAGGCCTTGTCTTTACCTTCATCCTGCCATTGGATAAAACATTTGTTATAACCAAGAAACATACAAACACTACCATTATATTACTTCCTAGTTACTCAAGCATAATGGTATTTCATTTAAAAAAGACCTGGTAACTGATTTTCAAAGGATATTGTTCACCACATTTTTATTCCACTCTTGCTATCTAAAGAAATAAATATTACATTATCTTCCTAAGCAGCAATTAGCCTGATAGGTAAGAGCAGACATCAAGAACAGACCCTTGTACATCATGAATTACAATAGGGTATCTGTATTTTGTGTTCTACTTGCCTTCTGAAAAAGTAAGTACAAACATCTGGAAGTAATGAAGTTATTTTTCCTATTAGTTTCTAATACTTCAAAATTTCAGAGATTTTTAGAGTTCTATCTAAAAGGCATCATAAGTGGTGCATGAGTTTACTGTTTTATAGCATGCAAAACAATATCAATCTGATGAGATTATAGGGAAGGCTCCACAATAAGGGCAAAGTTAAACAGGCATATTGTATTACAAAACAGTTTAAGTTACCCAAAGCTTATACAGAACATAGAAACCTCAATGTGCATTCAAGCAATCCCACTTGATGAAGTGGAATGGCTTAAATACAGGAAATAAAGAAAATGTCTTAGTATTTGCAGAACATCACTTTGTGAACTTTTAAATAAACAGAAAAGTAGCACCTCACACAAAATCATTTCTGCCTGATGAACATGCTTTTATATAGAGTAATTGTATCATACAGCTTTTTCATATTTTTCCAACCTTATATTTGTAATTCTTTGGGAAAAAGTTTCCTTTCCTCTCTAGAGAAAAATTATCTGTCCTTGGGATTTTAGTCTTACCTTGAGCAGAGATGCTTTGCCTTCTTTGGTAAGCCTTTTTAATTTTGCTGCAGCAGCTTTTTTGCTAAGTTTCGTGCCTTGCTCTGGTTTCATCTTTTCAAGAAGCTTTTGACGTTTCTCCTTTTCCCTTCGCTTCATACGTTTACGGAGCTTTTTCCTTCTGAGTTCTCGTTTTTTGTCTGTGGGAGTCTTTTCTGCATCTGTTTTTACATCACCAGCTTTGTTCTTTTCCTAAATAGATTCATAACAGCGCAAAAGACAAGACTCACTTCACAGAACTCAAATCTATCTCAGCATTTCCATTATTTCAAGTGATAGCTCAGGATAAGGCAAAGGCCAAAAACTGACAAAAGCTGGGAAATGAGATTTGTACAACATGCTAATTGCTCTGCTCTAGTGTTGTTTAGCTTTTCCCCTCTCAACACCCATATAAATGTTGGGACAACAATGACCATCAAGTAACAGTTAAGATCAAAACCAAAGCATAGTAGTATGGCCTACTGGAGCCAAATAAAATTTACTCTTTCCCCAGATAGGAAAAAAAAAAGCAAAAAAAAAGCAAAAAAACCACCTCAGCCCTCAAAACCTCCCAAAAACCACAAATGCTAAAATTCTAGGCCAAAAAAGTCCACAAGGTGAGGAATCACCCATCAGGATGGGAAGGGCAGAATTCCCACTGATCTGACAGACAGTACATCCTTCTGTAACTACCTTATGCATTTTATATTTACCTTGATCTCCTCTGGTGCTAAGAGAGCAGCATCACTAACAGCAACTGGTGCTACTTCTTCCATACTTATAGCTGGAAGGTTCGAAACTATTTTAATTTCTGGCACCGGCTAGAAAGAAGGAGACACATTCAGGACTGAGCACAGCATCTCAGCAGCTGACAGACAACTGAAGATCACAAGTAGCTGGGCTTGTTTAGAGGCAATCGCAGTGCATTTAATATGAAATAAGAATTACCTCAGTAAACACCAATGTTTACTTTGCTTTCCATTTCTGGAATGTATTTTAAAGTATCCAGTTCAAAAAAAAGGGAGAAAGCCCCCAGCTTTATGAAACTTATGCACTTACTGGTTTGGGTGTGAAGTGGAAATTACAAAGTGCATCCAGCTTCTGGAAGAGTGAATCCATCATTTCCTGAATTTCTTTGTGTTCAGGATTTTCTTCCTCTTCAGTCTTTTGCTGCATTAAAAATGCAATGTAACTGTAACACCATTCATAAGGCTATTTTACTTTAGCAAGACTAATAAGAACACAATTTACAATTCAGAGCTCTTTCACTGGTGAACACTCAGAGAAAGACTAAATTACTTCCAGTTGGAAAGTGTATTAATGAACACACAAGAGTACACAGTGTGAACTTCAAACCCAAAGGAAAGGCATTGTTTTTGTTACCTGGTGAAGTTTCATGTATTCTTGCTCGTAGATTTCAGCGAGACTCAGCTTACTCTTTTCATGATCCAAACTGATCCGCTTCTTGTAATCAAAAGCTTCCTCTTTGGGTTTTTCTTTTGGTACTACATCATCCCATGCCTGAGAAAGTCATAAAGTAATGACCAATTGCAACTACAGTGAAGTACCAGCTACATCTCTTTTAGAACATTTTTCAGTTATTTATTAAACATAAATTAACTAGTTTATGAACGTAGCTTCCCAGGACTCATCAAGTTTTGCACTTTTACTAAAAAAATAAAAAAGTAATAAAAGTTATAGCTCTACTCGAGCCCTTGGTTTTAGTGAATGAAGGCAACAACTATAACAAGTTACAAACTCTTCCCCATATTTTTAAATTCAAAGAACAGTAAGGCTCAACAAGCTGTGAGATACTAATATTCTGTCAGTAGCTTTGAAGCAAAATGAAGCAAACAACTGAATTTTGGACAGTGTGAGAATGCTCAGAGCACTAGTTGTGGTAACAGCCAAGACTTATAGACTGGCTTTATATTCCAAATAAACTCCTTACAGTTTTATCTGCAGTCTCTTTTGAAGTGCACCAAAACTTGGCACATAAAAGGGATATAAAAATAGGGCTCCTTAGAAATCTAAAGACATACAGTGAATATCAAGAAAAAAGAACAACCAGTCGCAGAAATTAAGATAATTCTACACCTAACATTGCAAATTATTCCAACTCATCCTTGGAATGTGCCCTGTGATTCAAGTCTATGAACAATGTAAGGAGGAACAGGTAGGATAATATTAACCTCATCCAATATTCTTTGTTTAATGAGATCTTCAAGCTGAAAAGTAGTTTCTTCTGTGATCACAGGTGCTGAAAGAAAAAGGTAAAGAATTTTAAGATTAATGTTTCTCTAGCAAGAAACAGGTCTTGTTCAATAAAGAATAAACTACACAAAAAGAAAGTAAAACCTTCACAAAAATGTAGCAATTGAAGGTGAAGTAAATAAATATAAGTAAAAGTAAGTCACATTACATAAGGCTGCTAAATTATTAGGTCTGCTACCAAAGTTACGAACTTTCAGGTAAATTAAAAACTAACAAAAAGAAATTATAGTTTTCTGTAGTTTCTACTGTGAAAATGCAGGGTGAAACAACCTCAAAATCAAATCAAGAAGTTTAACCTGGTCTCCTGTTACCCTGCTCTTGAATCACAGGTGTTTTCAGCAAGGTGAAAGGGCAGAATACCCAGCATGGTCTGGCACATGCTGTGAGCAAAGCCCTGTCCCTCTCCTTACCCATTCGGACTGCGTGGTCAAAAAGCACCGTTTCTTCCAAAAGGCTGTTCTCAGGGCGTTTCTGTCCAGTCACTTCTCCTTTCAGCTGCCAAGGTTTCTCCTCTAACAATGCTTCTTCCAAGCTTTTTATTTTTTTGCTCATCTGGAAAACACAATTTCCTACAAAGTTTAAAACAGAGCTCACTCGTAAACTTGCAGCAAGAAATTAATATTTATTTCAGGTACATGAGGGAATATATGATTGCAGATGTATCTATGTAGATAATCCACATGTCTTCCTTAAATTTTAAATACCTTCTTTTTATTTGCTGGATTCTGAACAAATGAAACAACCAGTAAAACAAAAGTTATTTGCCACTGTTTTGAAGTATTAGCCAAATAAAATATGAACAAAACTCAAAGAAAACCAAAGCAAAATTACCTTTTCCTGTCTCTTCTCAAATGATGACTTTATTTCACTGGGACTGATGCCCTTCTCTAATTGCCCTTCAGCTACATCTTCTGTTTCACTGTCATCTGGCAAATTGAAAGTTACTTTTTTAGAAGCTTCTTTATTTCTCATGTGCTCCACCATTTCATCCATATCCTCAAACCTGTAACAACAACATTTAATATAAAAGTTGAGAAGCCTTTTTAATTTTTCACATTAAAGTATTTCAGCCTTTAGATGTTTACTTGCTACAAGTAACTTACAGTTTACAACAGGTTTCAGGGATCCCCCTAAAGGCAGAGGACACTAGGGAAACTTCTGGATAATAAAAATAACTTTGAACAACTCTTAAATGCTTTATTCAAATAAAGTTCAAGGGACAATATTTTAAAAAATTAAGTAAGCTGACAACATAAACCATGAACATACAACAGTTAACTGAGAATGGCACAGTGTGACCAGAGTGAGGGTGGAATTCTCAGTATTTTCTGCTTTACTTCTGTGTAAAATTATGAGAACATTTTACCTGCATTTTACTTACTCAGACATACTTCCTTCATTTTGCTCTTCCATGGCACTGTCTGCTTCCTCTTCCTGATCCTCTTCAGCATCATTAGCTACTAAATCATCATCACCATCATCATCATCAACTGGATCAAAGAAATCTTTGTATGTCATATCTCTTGAACTTTTTATTGGCTAAAAAGGTGAGAGGGAAAAAACAAACCAAACAACAAACCACAGCTGTTAAGACTGACAGAAATCAAAGAGCATCTTGTCTTTTAAAGTCTTTAGTGCCTGGGGAACAGCACTTCTTGTGCAACAGTAATTTAGGGTAGTGCAACAATAATTCAGGGTAGTGATGCCTTAACCTGTGGTAGAGGATCATAGTAAAACTGATTTCTTTTCCTGGTATTTTCAGTTCTCTACCACTTACACATACAGAAGTCAAGGAGCTGTACATTTTGCCAAATACTTGCTAGAATGCACACCGATTCCCTGGGTCTATTTCTTACTTGCTTGTGAGAATGTCTGGTAATACTGAATAATAATATACTTATTTTAGAATCAATTATTCATCAATTTAAGTTGTATCACAGTCACAAGGCATGTCCCTGGAAAAAGCCCTTTGCTCTTCACCAGCCACCTCAGTGATCCCTAATTGCCAGATGCTGATCTTTTCATTTGCTGGGTCCCCTATTCTGCAATTCTTCAAGGCCTCTGCTTTCCTGTGGGTATTATCTCTTCCTTTATTCATGTAAAAGCCCAAGGCCCATGTAAGGAGAGTCTGGAATAGCAGGATCCTATGTCCTTCTACACCAGGAAATTTTCTTACCAGATATTAATTGTTAAAGTAAAGCTTCAGAAGTAATCATTAGTTACATAAACAAATGTAACTTGGCAGTTTCTACAGAGTTAAACATTTTATGGTCATCCTAACAGATACCAGATTTTGATTTGAAGGAAAAAACTCACTTTGACTTTAGCTTCTTCTAAGTCTTCGTCATCATCTGAGAAAATGTCTTCAAAATAATTAATGTCATCTTCTTCTTCTTCTTTTTCCTTGTCTTCCTTCTCTGCATGTTCTAAAAAAGCTTCCATCTCAGCTAGCTTGAAAAACTTGTCATCCACTACAGATTTTCTTCCCTTCTTTCTCAGTGTGGTTTCCTTGGCTGTTTTAGCTTGTTGCTCCAGTGCTTCAATATCAAAGTCAATATCAGAATCCTCATCACTGTATTTCTGCATTACACTTTCTCTGAGTTTACTTTGCTTTTCTTTAGCTTTAGTTTTATCTTTTTCTTTATCTTTTGTATACACATTCATCTGTTCAGTTTCTGCTTCCATTATGTTGTCTTCCAACTCCTTGTCACTGCTGGTCTCTGCATCAGAGCCATCCTCTTCCTGGTCTGAGAGAAGGCAAAGATCTTCATCCTCGGCATCCCTTGCAATGGATTTCTTGAAGAAATCGAGAACTGCATTGTTCTGGAGCTCTAGTTGCTGCCAAATCTGTTCTTCATCAAACTTTTCTATCACCAGCTCTTTTAGAGGACCCCCACGAACTATGTTACTTCCTTTATTCAAATCGTAGAGAGTCTTTGTCATCGCTCTGAAGTCGGCAGCCAGCCCATCCTGCACACTGAGAGCAGAAAAATAAAAAAGCTTAACACTTTCCACTAAGTCAATCACACGGCTGCTCTTGTTGTAGCTGCTTTGGTTCTCTGGTGCTGCAGAACAGCACCTTTCAATAGCTACTGCTGCGGCTTAACTTTCCATACATCGCTTGGAGTACTGCTACTACGCAGTCACAGAAAAAAAAATCACAAAATTATTAATCCTTTCAGTTTCATTACACTTCGTGTAGGAAGTAGCAGCTGGACAGAAAATCCCAGCTTTCTACAGCTGCATCTTACAATATGTTGATCTTATTTAAGCACTCCAGACATTTTGGGCAAGTAAACAGTACAGCACTAAACACCTCAATCGTCCAAGAGCCAGACCCCAGGTTTGAAAGATGTAACTGCGCTTCTCCACCGCCCCACTCCTCAACTGTTACACCTGGCTGGGTGTAAAAGGTTTTCCTCTAGGGCTACCAATGCCTCCCCCCGCCGCCCCGCGGTACCTGAGGAAGCACTCGGGGCGCGCCGCCGCCGCTCCCGCCACCCTGAGGCACGTCTGGATGCCCTGGAGCCCCGGGAGCCGCGGCACCGCCGCCATCGCCCCGCGCGCACGTGGGGCCCGCCCCGCCTCCGCCGCGCCCCGCGCTCAGGCCCGGCCGGCTCCGCGGCCGCCGCCAGGGTTCCGCGCACAGCGGAACTCTGCCCCGCCCCGCTTCCGAGCCGTGCCATCCCCGCCCCCTGAACCAGGCATCCCCGCCCCCTGGCCCAGCCCTCCGTTAGAAGCGCCTCGTTCTCCCAGAACCCCCAGCACAGTATGGCAGTCGTGCGTGGTGGCTGCTGGTTGCCGCCCTGGGAAGGGCGCGGTGTTGCTGCAGACTGGGATTTGCATCAGCACTGGGAAACCTGCTCTAAATATAGTGAAGGTACATTCATCTCACTTCACGGTTTTGAATCTCTGACCTAGATGCAAGGGCTGTTTTAGAACTGCACATTTCCAGCTGATTCTGCCGGTAAAACACCTGATCTTACCTGGTGTCTACAAGTTCAGGCTAACGATGTGCACACACACACACACACCTTTCACCATCCACACAGCACTGCCCAGTGCTCTGCAAGTCCCCTCTTACATCATGTAGTTTCTTAAGGTTTATTTTGTAAAGTAAAGTTAAGCCCTACACCCACAGACCCTTGTGTTTCCAGCCACCCACACAGCCTTCTGCAACTTGATCCAAAACTGTGACTACTAACCTTTTAACTTCAATACTTCTCCTGCCTCTGCCGCTTTCATGTTTCTTTCCTACCAACATATAAAGCCTTTTCAGTGCAAAGAATGCCCTGCAATGTCACAAATTAAGATTTGAAGTGGCACAAGCTGTTTATCTACTTAGGCTGTATCTCAGCTAGTTGCATTGTGCTATGCCTGACACAGCAAGACTGCAGCATCAGCAGACAGCCTGCTCACTGTCCTGAGTCTCTCTGGCACAATGCTTCATGGCATCCCCGTCTGTATCAGGAAGAGCGCGGCCAGCAGGACCAGGGAAGTGATTGTTCCCCTGTATTCTGCACTGGTAAGGCCACCCGTGAGTTCTGGACCTCTCAGCTCAGGAAGGACATTGTGAGATGCTGGAGCAAGTCCAGAGAATGGCAACAAAGCTGGAAAAGTCAGATGAGGAGTGGCTGAGGGAGCTGGGGGGCCTGAGCCTGGAGAAAAGGAGGCTTGGGGTGACCTTATTGCCCCCTATAACTTCCTACACCAGGAGGGTCCAGCCAGACACCCTCCTGGTGTCACTTGTCCTGGCAACAGGACAAGAGGACATGGTCTCAAGCTGCACCAGGGGACAGGTTGGACATCAGAAGAAATTTTTTTTCTCAGAAGGGGTGATTAGATACTTGAATGCACTGCCTAGGGAGGTGGTGGAGTTACCTAGGGAGGTCTGGATGTGGCACTTAGAGCTCTGGTTTAGATGACATGTTCAGTAATAGGTTGGACTCGATGATCTCGGTCGTCTTGTCCAACCTAACTGATTCTGTGGGATTTGCTCAGAAAACTTCCTCGGCAAATGCCGCTTCCTACCGCAGCGCTCTTCGGCACGCTGTCTCCGAGGCCCGGGCAGCGCCGGCCCGGCCCCCGCGAGGCTCCAATGGCGCGGCGCGGCGGGCCCGGCCCCCGGCGAGGCTCGGCGCTGCCGCGCGGAGGGCGCCGGGGGCGGCGCCGCCGCGGCCGAGCGGGCGGAGATGGCGGCGGCGCTGCGGCGCGGAGCGGCCGGTAACGCGGGGCGGCGAGCGGGGCGGCGGGAAGGAGGGGCGGCGGGAGCGCGGGCGGCGGGCGCGGGGCTCGGTGTGCGCTCCGGCCTGGCGGATCTCCCCGGGAGAGCTCCGCAGGCCGAACGAAGCTGCCGCTTCTGCAATAAAAACAAGTTCTCCCGATCCAGCTGACGGGCGCATTAACCACTGACATTAGCTGCGTAGGGTAAACTTAGAGAGCAAACGCCAAGCCTAAAGTGCAAGGAGGAACTTGTCTTTTTGATGTGTGGTTTGGAGGTAAAATTCAAAATAATTTGCCGTTTATGGTAATAACCTGTACTGTTCACTCTGGTAGGGTAGGTTTAACTCACAATACCTAAAACATTTTACTTGGTAGCCCCAGACCAGGAGAAAAGTGAATGAGAGGCTCAATGCTGTCAGTGATCGATCAGTAGGATATTGGGAATGAAAACAGCTTCGTATGATTGCACTTTGAAGGAGGGAACAAAAGCCACAGCACACTGAGACTCAGTTCCCTTGGGCTGTGGAGCCCATGTAATTCCCAAAAGCTCCATCCAGCACAGCAGAGCAGTACTGTGAGCCCAGTTAGTCTCCAGAGTTCCCAGGATGCTCACACCACCTTGAAATTGCTGGAATTTAAGAATGACCATACTATGCCCTTTTCTCCATTTGGCCCAGAGAGTGAACACACAGCCCCTATGTGCCAGATTGGTAACAGCATCCTCTCCATGCTTTGGGAGTTTGTCACCACCTGAAAAGAGTGACGATAAAGCAGTGCCCATGACAAGGTTCTTGCTGCAACCCACTGTTGTAAAACCTTCCCATAGAGAACGTGACTGAATTCAGTTTGGTTTGGCTTGTATTTGATTCCTTAGTTTCCTTGATTAGGTTAATGAGCACTAATCCACATCAGAAGCAAAAAACGAGGCTACGAATAAACATTTGAACTTGTTACTTTATAATCTGCTCGGTTGAAGAATGTAGCCCTTACTTGGTACAACTGTATATTTAAACTCTGATGTGCATACTACAAGTAAATGAGTCAATCATCAATAGAATGATCCCCAAATAGATAAATTTAAAAATATTCTTCAAATGAAGCTGAAGAAAGTTATATACTATAGAACTAGTTTTGTGATGCATATATAAATACAAGTGTTTCTTTCCTGGAAACGTGGAGATGATGGGGTTTCAATCTGAAGTTTGCTGAAAAGCTTTCTTTTTCACTGCAGGGCCATTTTTGATTATTGGGTTAGAAGAAGATTAGAATTTTAAGTAATCTATATAGTTACTGATCTAGATAATGTAAGAAAAACAAACGCTTTTTGTTTAACCTCAGTCAATTAAATTATGGATTTAAAATTAACACTCTATGCATCTGACTAGAGCTAGGACTTCATAAAATAAGCGCTTATATGAGTGAGTATTTAAGTATCTTTGACTTTACAAGAATCCTAGGAATATACTTCACTTTTTCAGTCTATTGTCTTCCCAGGAAACAGCACAAGAAATCAAATATTTCTGGGGCAGAACCCATAAGAAAGAGCATTTTCTATTATTTTTTCTAGTGCTTCACAAATAGCTGAGTAACAAACAGTCAGTGTCTTTGTCTATTTACTTGAAATAGAAAAAAAAACAAATTAAATTACAATAACTGTGTGGTCATATGTGCCCTGTGTAAAGTGCAACAAGAACTACAGATGTCAGATGTAAAATAATGGAAAAATCCTTGCCTTCCCATTAGTAAAGACTGCTTGAAAAAATATCTACATTAGTAGTATTTCTGTTGAACTGCAGTCTGTTAATATTTGGAAGAAAAAATAAAACAGTAAAAGGCTCTGGAACACATAATAAATTATATAGTAAGGGATCCTTCTCTTTCAAAGGATTTTTCTTATTTAGAGAATACTGCCTTCCTCCAAGTGGAAAAATATCTCTTGCTTCAGCAAGAATGTCTTAAGAAATTACAGTACAAAATGGAGCTACTTCAGTAGAAGCTTAGGTGGGCAGGAAAGACTGTATAGCAGATATTGGGGGGTTGTTAGTTTTGTAACACATTTATTTGCTCTGGTTAATTGTCAAGCCCTATACTAGTTAATTAGCCATGCCTTTAATCATGCACCTTATGCATTTGAGGCACTGCACAGTGCTGCTCCCTCACAGAATAACATGATTCACCCTGATTCAGCTGCATTGACATGGCAAGTGTTTCCACAAAATAGTTTATGCACAGACATTTGAAAAACAATTTTTTTTTCATGTGGAAATTTCAAAGGGATTTTTTTTAACATGTAAGAAGTTGAAAAGCAGTTGCTGTCCTATACCAGTATGATAGCCTAAAGGTACTAAGTGAAAGAATTGTCCAGAGCTTCTGGCTGTGATGAAGGAGATGATAGGATGGACTGTGTGAAAGCCTGGCAAGAAATACTGCAGGGCAGTTACTTGCAGCACTGGAAAAGTTTCTGTAAATACTTAATGTAGGATGTTGATTTATTATCACAAAAAATTGTGAATAGACTTATTTTTGTGATACTGAGTCCTTGCTAATATGCACATTGCATGTTGGAATTTTAAGTGTCAAATACATGCAAAGATTTCTTCCTCCATCCCAGCACCATGCTCAGAAAGACTTAGGTTTAAGGATTTATCAGTGTTTGAAGAAAAATTAACTGATAGCCGTAAATCTTGAATTCCTGTGGAATGGTAGCTCTCAGTTCCATACTGTGAAGCAAAGCTGATTTAATTAATTACAGCTATTACTGACCTTACAGAGCACCAAGAGCCCAGACAGGCTATCTATCCTCAGTGTGTTGCAATGCATCCAGAATCTCAGTGCATCACTGGCACAATCTCTTAGCGAAATAGCACATTTGTGACTTTAACGGAAAGAACACCTCAAAGACTCCCAAAAGGATAAGATGCCTCTAGCTTGGCCTTGAGGCATTGGGAGCTCTGACTTGGCCTAAAGCAAACTGGCATGGAATTATAATGTAGCTTTTATGAATATGTCTTTTAATCTAATTCTAATTTTGGTTCTAGAAACAGCTGATACTATAAAAATTTCTCCCCACCCCCAGTCCCTCTAGATTTTGGTACTGACAGATTGATTTTTAAGGTAATTAATTTGCAAGTACCCTCATTTTTTATCTTTATTTTTTGTGACCTTTTTGTTTGTTTCCTATAATTTTGAGATGTATAGGCATATCCGTATTTCTTTCTTCATTTCTTAAGAAGCTCTGAAAATTTCAAAAGTCACTTTTAAACACATTATGCAGTTGGCCTTTACAATTGGTCCTGTTTTCCTCTTTTCAACAGGTATATGTAAAGATTTACAGCAAATTTGAGTCAGCTTTGGGTTTTTATTTATTACTCTTTTAATAGGTCTGAATATTTACTTAGTCTGAAAACAAAGTAACTGTTTCCTTGCTCTCAGCCTACCCTGAGCATTGCACAAGGGTGTGCCAATGACTTGGCAGCTCTGCAGGCCTTTACAGGGGAAAGAGCAGGCACTGGGACTTTCTCAAAAGCATGGTGTCAGTGCTATTCACTTGCTTTTCAGGGCTTCTTAGCAGGCTGCAGACTTCTGCTCCCACAGTACAAACTCTCTCCTCATCAAAGTCCTTCTCACAAAACATTCCAAGCTGTTTGTGGAAACTGGGCCGACTTAATCACGTGGCAATTGCAGTGCCTGATTTGGAGAAAGCTCAGTCCTTGTATAAAGATGTGTTAGGAGCCCAGGTGAGTGAGACTGTTGCTCTTCCTGAACATGGTGTCTACACTGTTTTTGTGGCGCTGGGAAATACCAAGCTGGAACTTCTACATCCGTTAGGAGAGAAAAGTCCCATTGCAAGCTTCCTGCAAAAAAACAAGACTGGAGGAATGCATCATATCTGCATTGAGGTATTTTAACGTAATATTTATTGTAATAAGATAGATACATTCAAGTATGCATATTTTAATAAGCTTGACCTGTGTCAAGAACTAACATATAAGGTTGTCATATTTCTCTCTTATACAAAGGAAAATTTAAACAGATGTTTTGATGGGTGAATTGTTTCAAACAGGTAAATATTTTAAGAAGAAATTAAATTATTCCTGACCAGATACAATATAATACCTGCAGTGAAAACCATGCTGGACACAGTAGAATCAGAGAGCAATCCAAGCCTGGTACTCATCTAATATGGATGCACCCAAAGGGATGCAGGGGTTCATTCCATCTGAGCCCAGACTCCTCTTCAGGCCACCTCTGCAGGACAGGAGCAGCAGCTGCTGTGGCTTTTCTGCTCAGGGGAAGAATCTGGAGGGGGCCGTGTCACATGTGGCCTTTCTAGTTTAGATAATTTGACAGTCATTCCTTTTTGTTTTGCAGTCTGGTAGTTGTGTGTAAGAAGAGTTGTAGTGAGTTTGGATTATTCATGAACAAAACTACTGCAAATGGGTAGGAATTAAGTGATGCCTGTTTCTCTGGATTAAAGCTAGGAATTTCCTTCTTCCCTACCATGGCATTGGGAGATGAGTTTATTCACCAAATTATGTCCAGACACCTCAGCCTTCAAAAATAGCAGTGATATATTATTTTAATTCTAGGTCTTTATTGATTACTGACTATTGAATTTTCTGAACTGAGGGTAAATATTATTATTTCAAAAAAAGAATGCATTTAAATTTTAGGAAAATTCAAATTTCATTAGATGACATGACATCAGAACTTCAGATCACATTGCACAGTAAAGGCATATTTTTGTTAATTACATATTTTTGTAGGAAATTGTACTGAAATACTGTTTTAATGGCTATTATAGTTAAGCTCAATAGGAAGACCACATCTGGATATATTTTTTATTATTCCAAGCTTTTTTCCTTAGGAAACTTTATGAACCTTTACCTACTCAGAAGGAGAATACATAAATCTAAAGGGGCTTTTACCTTCTGCCCACTGTCCTCCCCTTTTCACCAGCATTTAATGAGTCAGTCCTCTGTCATTACTTATAAAGGCAGGTATTTTTCTTTATTGCAGTTATTGAGAGCAGAAAGTAATGCAGAATTTAGATTATTTATGGAGTCCTTATGAAGTAACAACAAAAAAATGCTTTGTGCATGAGTGATTTTGTTTATTAATTTCTTAAATATTGCACAATCCATTTAAATTGTATTTTATAAAATCTTCAAATAACAAATGCAAGTTCCTGTTGTATTTTTAACACTAGATGTTTTAAAATGGTTTATAACTTATTTTCAGAATTATATTAGAATTTAGAAATAACATTTCAGTAAGGAATTGTTATTGCTCCTAAATGTAAAATCTGCATAATACAGTGCAATATGTTAATTTGTGTGAACTGTATCTTTTTTAAAAGGTTGATGACATAAAAGCGGCTATGACAGAACTGAAGAAAAAAAAGATACGAATATTGAGTGAAGAGCCAAAAATAGGTGCACATGGCAAACCTGTGATTTTTCTTCACCCTAAAGATTGCCATGGAGTCCTTGTGGAACTTGAGCAAGCTTGAGCTGCAATATTCATAAATTAAACAATAGAAGAATTGTGAAGTTCCTGAGCTGGTGCTGGGAATATTGATGTGGCATTCAGTCTTTACAAGTTCATTGAAGTTCCCATGGATGAAGTACAGCTTTTGAGCACTGAAATAGTGCTACAGATTTAAGGTCTGTCTTTGCTGGTGTTGCTGATCTAATACATTGGCATTTCTTAAATTCTCTGTGATTCTACGCACAAATAAATGAGCTAAGTTACATATGTACAATAGTAATTTATCTTTTGTTGCCTGTTTGCAGCAAGATCTTACCTCTGTAGCCACAGAAACTATACAGTTTCTAGGTCAAGCTGCATTATTTTGCTCTACATTTCAGAGCAGAGACCCACTTCCCAGTGACAACAATATAGCTTAGACATTTTTCTTTAGAAATAAAGGCAAACAAAGAATGTTTTCTCTTCTCACCATTCACCATCTGTGCTTCACACTGATTGATTGGTTCATGCAATAAAAAAACCTACATATTATTGTATGGATGTCTGCAATTAGTAAATAAGTTTTTATTGGCATAACAATTACTGCCAAGGAAGTTACCATGCATAAATCATCATTTAGTTGTTTTATGAACTTTGTGGATATGCAGGCAATGCAAGAAGAGAACCTGAAAGCTACTTGCCTGATATATATTTCATATTGTAAGGCAGTTGTGACATTTTAGTTTTTTCATTTTTAGGATTTTTAATTTTTTTCCCCAAGCTTTCTCCATAGAAGGACATCTTGAAGAGACATGAATAAGGTTTTCCTGTGCAGAAGCACTTACAAAATCATTGGCAAACACACTCCACGTAAGTCTTGCTTCTGTACACAGTTTTTTAGCATTAAAGACCATGCCAGTATGCTGATGTCACAGCCTGCAGGCAGTTTTGTTAAGTTATTTATGAACAGACTTCACTTTATTGGTGTATATTACCCAAGCAGTCTTTTCCTGAGACTTTTTTTTATAGGTTTGTTTTGACATTTCAACTGTAGAAATAGAAGACTTGCTATTTCTTTCATTTTCTCAAGCCTTAAAAAGTCATACTTTCCTAGCTTAACTACAGTCTGAATTTTAAATTTTCCTACATCTCTGCATATGCAGTAAGAGCCTTCAGCTTGATACAAAGATGATCTTAGTCTAGGCAACTTTTTACTTAATGGAATTATTTGTAATGTGTGTCATGTTTGCAACAACAAAATACAAATGTAATGTTGACCTGTTAAACATGTTTTTAAAGACATTGACATTTCCTCATGAATTTTACTTCTGAAAAAATCTCTACAAAGCCATGATTTTTTTCTTTTAACAAGATAGTGTTGTACCCAAAATAAATACTCCTTCTCTCCTATTTTAAGAAAAACACAGCCTTCCACAGGATTCCTACATTTCATCAAATCACTGTTTAGAGAGTAGTTTGTGATCTAAATTCTAAACGGTTTAAATTTAGAAATCATAAGGCTCATGAAGGAAATGCAGAAGGATTTAATATTCCTGAAATCTGATTTGGTCATTCTAAGAGATAGTCTTTGAGCAAAGCTGCTCTTGTCTTTCTGTCAAAGACAAGGAGGCACTTTTTTCTGCAAAAAAATACCAATAGAAATACCAATACTAAAAGCCTCACTGGTTATGATAATTGAATAGAAGTCTTTAAACCAAATATCCTTATTTTGGTGCAACAGAAACAGCCCTCCCATGGTTCATTCTCCATTTCTTTGTCTGAAGGAGATAGACTTCTGTGTATGACATCTATCAACATATCAGAGTAAGCAGCTTGAGGTAGTGTCACAGCATATGTCAGAGTTGCGACAGCCACAATACACAGAGTACCCCCATTGAATTTTAGAAGGCTTTAAGCATTCCCCCACAGAGAGCAACACCATATCACTGCAGAAGGCTGCAAGTACCTGCTCTCCTTATTCTTCAGCCCAACCTTTCATGCCCCTCATGTTGATGCAGTGCACCTGTGTGCCCTCTGTGTGCCTCTGTTCCCTTTGGTGGCTGGGCAGTGCCCCTGGGCACTCCATGGCTCATTGCTGTCAGTGCTGCTCAGCTGCTTCTCACAGCTGCACCCACTGGGGATGAGGCTGGGCTGCAGCCCCACTCCCAATTACCACAAACTGTGGACCTATAAAGTAGTGCTAGAGAACAGAGATTTTTAAGTAAACACTTGCTCCACCTGATGATTGTGCTCCCTATCTTATTGGCAGAAAGGCTTGTGTTACTTTTTAGCTAGTAACCAGCGTTTTTCCTGACTGACTTGGGGTTGCCTAGCTCTGAGTCAGCTGATGCATTTTGTTCCTTGTATCCAAGTCGTGCTCCTGTCTCACAGTTCATACCTTTTTTGTGACTATTCCTAAGGTGGAAATCAAGAAAATTCCAACACACACACAGACAACCCCAGCCCTGCAAAAGAGAGTTTAGGTCTTCAGATTAGTCAGTACACAAAACTGGATCATGTTCTCACAAGCTCTTAAAATTTGATGGGATCAGACCCCCTTACTTGTCTGGGTATGTGCTACAGGACAGGAGAATTTCCCCTTCTGGAGCTGCAGACTTAGAGAATAGCCAAGGGAGCTACAGCTGCATATGATCTGAAGACAGCTACAGCTGAGAGAGGTTTCCTGGTTATAAACTTAACTCCCTTAGACTTCAGTAGGAACAGAATCAACCTCTATCAACTGTGTAGTCCTTCACCTTAAAGCAGGCAGCCTATACAAGTTGTTGTTCTGACTTACCAAGGGGTTGGGACAAGGCTTACTTACATAGGCCTTACTCTTTGTCACTACCATGATTATAAGAGGGGAGTAACACCCAGAAAAACTGGAAGTTCAGGGATGGAAACTGGGGAACAAGAGAGCTGTGATTTGCTCCTTTCAGTGGAGGGGCATTTAACAATACACTCCTGTTGCATCATTTTACAACTTCTGGGAAGAACAACAGTGATTCAAATAACTGGAGCCTGATTATCTTGGAAGGGAAATAGTTTTTGACAGTATTTAATCTTTTTTGGTTTTTGTCTGTTTGGTGGATTTTTTAAAACAGCAAAACCTTCTTCTCTGATGTCAAGCTTCTCAGAAGATGGAGTGTTAGTATTTTGCCAGTAAATTTTCTCATGCTTTTGCCACTAGTTAAGTGCAAGTTCCCTGTTCTAATCTCTCCATGTGCCTCTTTTCCCCTCTGAGCTGAAGCGTGTTCCTATTTTATACTGCCTAAGGCAGACAAGATACATTTTTCTGGACTCCATCAACATTACTCAGGCAGCTAAAGAGCTCATAATTAAATGATGCAAAATATCTTTTTTTACTTCCTCTCTGCAATCCTCAAGTCACTCCTAGGTGGGAGGAGGTGAAGAGGCTGCAGAATGAATCCCATTCCTTATGATGAGACAAACCTAGAAGCAAACTTAAAATGCTGTGAAAAAAACTAACTTTATGCCTTTTAAAAGCTAACCTTACAGTTTTGCAATTCTGCAAAAACTCTGTTCCTGTCATGCTTATTCTGCAATTAATGCACCCGAATTTCATTCTGAATTCTGTTGCTTTCATTATTACCATATCAACCTGAAGTCTCATAGAAAGACCATGAAACATAGAGATGCTTACATTATCTGGTTGAGGTACTTACAGTAGGAGTGTATGGACAGTGATATCCTTGACACTTCATTTGACTCTGTCCTTACAAGGAATTCTTCCTGTAGTGATGTGAGATGGGTGTGTTGGATATAAGAACCCTTAACTAATAGAAAAACTCAGAATTGTTTCAATATCAGTTCTTTTACCAAAGCACTTGTCATGCTGGCCAAGTCAGGCTGTCAAACAGAATAAGATCATCAAGTTCAACTAGTTAATGAATATGAAAATAGGAACTAACAACAATATATAAATTAATCAACCTAGGGCTGACATTTTGCAATGGAAGACCTCAACCACTTAGGAATGCAAAATCTGTCACCTTTGACAAGCATCTTCAAAGCACCTTGAACAAATTATGAAATAAATATTTATCTTATTGTGAAGGAGGGATATTTATATCTTGTATAATCCTTAAATATCTATAATATTATGTAAACTGTTAATGTTTGTTTTCACTGTCTGGTATATTGTCAAAAAGCACTGCTAACTGCAATGTTCTTAGCATAGTAATGAGGAAGAGTTCTCTGATACATTTTAACATAATGATACATTTTGAAGCATTTAATAACTTTTCTAGATCTGAAGTGGCCTTTCAGCTGTTACTGCTAAAACAAAAATAGTAAATAGGTATTAAAATCTTCTATAAAGTAGATATTTAATGAAAATTTTTACTTATTTTTAACATTACATTTTTTTCAGTAATAAAGACAGGTTCAAAACATAATTTTAAGATCTGAAGTAATTTGCAACTGCAGGTACACTGAAAGCATGTATGATGATGCACAATTTGCATTAAATAAGGGGAATATCCAACTCTGCAGCCATGGCTGGCTTTTATGGAAATGATTATTTCCAGAAATTGAAGAGTAAGAGAGGTATGTTCCAGGATTGGTATTATGCACCCTATTTTTACCTTCCATTTTGGTATGTAATTTTCTATAATAACCATCTGTCTGAATCACTGTCTCCAAAATGATGTGGAGGGAGAATGTTTGTTAGAAACTTAAATTTTAAAAAGTTAAAAGATACATCCCACTTCCTTTGGGACCTCTGAAGTCTTTGAGAGGTCAATTGTGGTACAATACCTGCAACTGCCGTAACTTCATAAAGAAAACATCTGCCCTATTGGGCTGGAAATACTGCTTTTGGTATTTTGATAAAGTGAGACTTTATTATGTATAAGAGGCTGTTTCATCAAGTTAACAATTTTGATAATTAATAATTCAAAAGATCACTTGCCAAATGCTTAAACAACCTGCCTATAGGTTATATATGTAGATACACTGCAGTTCTGTGTAAAACATACATGTATTACAGTTTGGGTAATGTTTTGAGTTTTCAGTATCTTCAAAAGAAAACCAAAATCTGTCCAGTAATTGGGATATAGAAAGGGACAGATGGGAAAAGACACCATAGAAAACCATGCCAGAAAATAGCCTCTTAGCAGCAAATGGAGAGTCTTAACAAAAATCTTAACAACTAAACCTTAAAAATCTTAACAACTAAAAAAACCAAACCAAAACAAAACCACAAAAAGGTGTTTCCATGAAGGACCTTTGCATGTACATGGAATGTGTCTTGATACTAACACGAGAGCAAAATG